ACGCAAGACAAAATTCGTTGTCAACACTTCACAGTAGGTCCGTTATTCTTTTCTTCAAGTCGAGTATTCTCTGCATATTCGACTGTGATTAATCAATTTTACACTGCTTACGATATCGGCATACAATATATTCTGTAGAATTATCACGATTTATGATTTAAAACACCAACATATTATAGAACGGGCCTAGTATGACAAAGAAGTTTCTAATTTTTACTGTGATATAGTGTCGCCACCGTCAACACGGAGTTCGTGGATGACTAGGCAGGAGTCCTAAGTATTTTAACTTTTTGTTGTAACAAATTTTTTTAACGTCTTTAGGAAGGAACGCTTTTTTGGAAGTGTGTGCTGTTAATATATAAAGGATTTTTAGAATTGTTGACTGCAAGTCTTACAACCATTTATAAAGTCAAAATGGCAGATCTTATGTGGTAGTTAAATTAAAAAGTTAATTATGTCTCATATATAATTAAAATTTTATATGTAAGGATTTTTTAGACTTGATTACAAATTTACAGTTAAAATTTGAAAATTCAAGATAATGAAACCAATGTAAAATTTTTCTTACTTTTTAATAAAAACATCTCGAATTAACAAGAACATAACAAGAAGTCTCAAATATAAATATACCGCAAATATATTAAGGCTGGTGATTTCCTTCGAAGCTTCGAAGTTCGAAGGTCGAAGCTTTCGAAGCTTCGAAGTTTCGAAAGATGCATTGAAATCTTCGAAATTCGAAGCTTCGAAACTTCGATACTTTAAACTTTGAACTTTCGAAATTCAAAATTATACAATTATTAATTTAATACAATAGCAATAGTAACGTGATAAGTACATATTTGTAAAAATATACGACAAAATCTAAAATAAAACGGTTTAATGTCGTAATTACGTTAAATTGAAAAATACGTAATTTTAATATTTTTATTGATTTTACGATTCTAAATTGTCTGTTTTTAAGATTGTTTTATGCTAAGCAAGATTTAATGAAAAACAATTATATCAATTTGTTATATTATTGTTTATTTTATAATAAATTAATTTTTATTTTCTTAATTTTCTTAACATATTAATTCTTTTATTAAAAATATTTGTAAATTTTCTGGATAAATTTATCATTTGCATGAACGTATTTTTTTAAACTTCGAAGCTTCGAATTCTTTCGAAGTTTCGAATATTCGAAGTAGGTGAAAAGTAACAGCTCTAAAATATACGTTTCAGACAAATAAAAATAATTTTTCAAAATTTTTAATTATTTTTGCCGTTAAATATTTAATCTGCTATTTAGTTTTCAAATTGTGAGATTCGAAATCAACAATTTCAAAACATTAATATAAATATTTCAAGTGTCCCATATATAAAACACTGCAACAAAGGACTTAATGACTATACACTTACTTTTTGTTTATGGCCTCCAACACGAAGAATACCTTCTTCTTTTACTCCACGTTTTGTCAACTCATTAAGAATTTTTTGAAACACTAATGGTATGTTATTTTCTTCACTTGTTAATTGACTGTCCCTGAGCAATAGCGTCGATAAAGAAACGCCAAACAAATTGCCAGCTACAAATATATAAACGTATATCACGAGAGTATCATGACATAAGAAACACGAGTATAATTATATTACATACTTTTCCTCCTTCTCTTATTCGGTTTTCGTCTTGTAAGCGGTATATTATATTTATCAAAAATCGCCGTAAGCTCAAGCCATAAAAGAGGTTGCAATTTCGTAAAATCTCGTTGTGATAACAATTCTACATCTTGTCGAGCGTAAGCGTCATCAGTCATAAGATTGTCAGAAGGCCACACTTGAGATTTGGCTTCGTTGGTTTTACACATCTCCTCGAAACTAAGATGACCGTGCGATGATGTACGACTTAATGGACGAGCTATTAAGTTTCCATCCGCTGGTCTGGTTAAGCCATATAAACTGCTATGACTTCGCGTTACTGTCGCGTGATTTCCTGAACTCCGTCTGAAACGTGAGATGACAATTAGAAGAAATATTTCGAAATAATTAGAAAACTATTCAATTATCTTAAAAATACCGAAGACTCGATTCCTTTGGCACGGCCAATTTTCTAACTGACTCAGCGTCTAAATTTGTTACATGATTAAGATCACCATTATGTCTCTGAAGTGGCCTGGCAATGTGTATTGTTCCCAATCTATGGTAGCCGGTCAACTGAATTCCTTCTGTGATAATATGTAATATTTTTTAGTTTCAAAATTTTTTTGGATTTTAAAATAAAAATTACTAATTGTTTAGAAATTACTAAATATAAATGTAAAAGCAATAATACCAGAATCATTTGCAACATCCCCTCTCGACCAATTGCCGACTCTCCTGAAAATTTCTTGCACGGGTGCAGAAGTCGAAGCAGGCACTGGCACAGAATTAAGAACTGTTTGAGGAACACTTGGTGTTCTACGAACCGTTGGTTTTTCTTCAGTTGACGTTCGGTGGAATATAGAAACAAAACTTGGTACACCAGCGCTTTAAACAATTAGAAATAAATTATACAAAAATAAATAACATAAAAACAGGAAATACGCTTATTGCAATAAACTTACTTTTGGTGCGCATCTTCGACTATCGGAGGGGAAGGAGGTGATGCATTTTCTGGTGTAGCGCCTCGAATTGAATCTAAAGAATCAGGAGTGCCGCTACGTGATCGCGTACCTGTGCTGGAGACCTATTTAAATAAATATATTTTATTTTTAACATACACATGGTGTGACAATCAAGTTCTCGGATTAAGGCCACAAAAAAGATTGAAAATATTAATTCTATCATTCAATAGGCCTGTTTCCGAAAAAATTTCTTGCATGGGCGCAGAAGTCGAAACAGGCACAGAATTAAGAACTGTTTGAGAGATATTTATGATGGTCTACAACCTCCATCAGTTGACGTTTAGTGAAATATAGAAACAAAATTTACATCGCTCATACAACAAATCAAAACGCTTCTTCCCGAATCGCCTTCTCTTATCACAGTTCTCTTATTACTAGTTTGTTAGATCCTCAAATCTCATCCCTTTCATTGTAATTTTTAATTAAGAAAAAGTCAATCAGCGCTAAATCACAAGAGAATAGAACGGAACACTGTAGGAATCTCTCATTTCGTCAAAAATTCGATGTTATCTCCGAGATTTTGGCAATACAAAGGATTCCTGTGTTAGTCCTATCCGATCTATTTGCCTGATTTAGTGTCAGCTGATTTTTTTCTATTTTAGAAAAAAAGACCTTTATTAAACTAACCCCCCTCCCCCCACCAGCGCCAAATTAATTTTTAAATAGTTAGAAATAAGTGCTCATTAGGTGCTAATTAGATGCTGAAGTGCGAAATTAGGTGTTTGAACCGTTTGGCAGAAAATTAAAAAAATATTGGGAAGGGCTGACTTAACATTAAGTTAGCCCTCAAAAAATAAATATTTATTGCGTAAATGAAAAAACAAATGCAGCAGAATTAAGTGCTAATTAAATGCTCCAAGAAACGATGAAAATAATTCAAAAATATATTACAAAACTTAGATGTCAGTCAAACGGTCAGCTTACAAGAGAGAAATTATCTTTAAACAATTAGGTGCTTCGACAAAATTGGTATTGAAATATTTCTTTTTTAATATTATTTAAAAATACCGAGTTACCGAATTAGGTGCTCGTTTCGTTTGTCAGAAATTCTAACTTAAACATTGATCGCGCGATTAGCTCATAAGAGAGAAGCGTGATCGATGTTTCGAAGTTAGAATTTCTGTCAAAAAGAACGAGCACTTAATTCAGCGACTCAATATCATTAAAATATTAAAAAAGAAACATTTTAATACCAATTTTATCGAAGCATCTAATTTTTTAAGGTGACTTCTCTCTTATGAGCCAATCCCGCAATCGATATTTAAGTTAGAATTTCTGACAAACGGAACGAACACCTAATTCGGCGACTCGATATCTTTAAATAATATTAAAAAAGAAATATTTTCACATCAATTTTGTCGAAGTACTTAATTTTTTAAGGTAAAATTATGTTTGTCCTTTCCTGTAATTATTTCATTATTTTTATCTATTCCCACACATATTTTATGTACGCGCAGTCTGATTATTGATACAACGCTTGTGGATAAGTAGAGCGGACTAAATTAAAGAAAAGTCTTATTCCATTTTGCGATTTTCGCAATAGTTAACAAAAAATTAATTCACAAAGATCTGTGAATCCGTCTGATTTGGTAAAAAGGCCAGCCCACTGTTTTTGTGGTGTACCGTGAGACTTGGGAGGAGCGTCCTGTAAACACTAAACAACAATGTGCCGCTTTTACACATAACAGTATAGCTATTGTTTTTTATAGAGTGCCTCTTCCACTGTTATGCCACTGGTCTAGTCGACGTCGCGGTCGGCGGGTTGTCACTGAATCGTACGCACACAAAGACAATGTTCCAAAATTCACTGCCAATGCAAAAAATTTATCGTGCATGTAAACTATAGATTTTTAGTGCTGGCCGTGAATTTTGGAACACAGTCAGATCTTTATAAATTAATTTCTCATTAACTATTGCGAAAATTACAAAATGACATAAGATTCTTCTACTTACTTTAATCTTCTCTACTTATTCACAAGAGTTGCATCAATAATAAAAAAAAATCCTACACACACATGTATATACACACACATGTAGGATTTCCAACGGAAATAGAAAATACTTGGAGAGAGCATATTGCTGCAGGACTGAAGGCCCAAGATAAAAGGAGAGATACAATCAATCAAGATGGCGACGAACGGGATGCATTAAACTAACATTAACATTCACATAATTCACAATATTCACGAATGCAGCACTCGAAACTGATAACCAAGATTTTTCCTCATCTCATCAATCAAACTCTCCCTGGTCTAAAAAGGCACTTTAAGCTCCTTTCAGATATTTCCTACCTCTACAGAATTTTCTATTTTACTTTATGTATACAATCAATTCAAAATACTTTAATGTGATATACCTCTACATCTTTAAAGACATCTCTAATGTCTGGTTTGCGAACACGTTGACGCTGATTAAAACGTTGTTTAACTGTATGATTAAGCGATCTCACGCGACGTTTCACAGCTTCTGCTTGAGCTCGCGATAGAGGACGCAAAACTGCACCTAATTCTTCAGGTTGTACCTCCTTGCCTGCTTTCCATGCCTCTGTTAATTGCCCTAAGCCTGCTGCATGTAACCATTCAGCTTCTTCTTCTCCTTCTGTAAAAAAAATTCAAAAATATTCATTCTATATATGTATTTCAAACTTATAATATATGTTATTGCAGCACTTTTTAGTTTTTAAGATTCTTTCGCATATTTGTTGTTAAATTCTTAAATATAATCTCTAACTAGAATTTTTATATGTGTGTAATTTATATATGTAGTTTTAGTTATAACAATACATACCATCATAACTTCGAGGGCTGCATTCTTCATCTAAATAATCATCCAACATTTTTGTTTCCTCTATCATTTTCTGATATTCCTCCCAGTATTCGAGTAGGTGGCTATCACTTCCTGCGTAGGTGGCACCATGTCCTTTGTCCATGTTTTCGTTTTCTTTTATATCCTTTGGATGTATATATTCATCAACTAAAGACTTTTTGGAAACATTTAAAGAAGCTTACTCCCAAAAATACGTCCTTATTCTGATATCTAAAACAATGATAATTAATCATATCACAAGCTTTGTTTCTACTTATACTTCATTAATCTCTTTCTTAGCCTAATCTTGAATGATTCAGAGATAACGTCAATATCATTGATAAACATGGGTAAATGTAAGAAATTATATCTTTTATGACTAATATTAGAAGCAGTATGAAAATTGTACGATTATTATTAATTATACAGTAATTCTTTTACAAAATATATTAAATGGAAATTAACAATTTAATTATTTTATTATACCACTTATAATTTTTATTAGTTTTAATGATATTTTGTAGATAAAGAATCGAGACAAACTTCTTTCATTTATTGTAACCTTGTTTGTCATTCTTAATTTATTAAATGGGTCAAAAATATAACTTAATATAAATAGATATTTATTTAACCCTCTATTTCACATCATATAACTTCGAAATTATATACTCATGCATCTATATTTTTTATCTTTTTTTCATCATAACTGAGCGCAGCATTTTAATGTTTTAGTATTCTCTAGTAACGTAGAAATCTGTTTACGCATTTTTTTTTACAAAAGAAATAGCTCATTATTTAATCTTTTCCGATAAAAAGACATACGTTATAAAATACCAAGATGTAAAGGTATTAATTAAAATATAATATTCAAAATGCAAAACATGCACATATACATCTCCATTTAACTTCAAGTGTAAACTGTTTTACGGACTTCCATATTAACTGTACGTAAAACTACATTACACATGAATAAACGCAAATGTTATACTCCATCATCCATTGTGACAAGTTACAAAACATTTTATTAAATATTCAAAAATTAAAAATTGTTAGTTTACTTCCAAGATTGTTTGCTAGTTATACATTATATCCATTTTTCTTATATATACAAAAAAATGGATTATATAGATTTAAAATATCTATTCATATATATATTTACATGGATACCTTTTTTTAAACATCTATATTCGTCTATAAACTGACAACACGTTCACATCATTTGCCATTAAAATTGGAAAAAAAATACACAATTTACTTCCGAGTTTACTTCGAAGGAATCTTATCGGGGCGCTCAATTGGCAATTAAAGAGTGCAAACAATTATTCACGATAAAATATCTTTCTCGGAATGATATATCGACCGACGTATTTATATCACATTCCACCGATTTCACGAGCAAATTTCAATACACACAGTCCCCCAGAATCCCCAGATCGTTCATTAGTATTATACACGCATATATTACGCGAGTGCGATTTCCAATGCGCTCGTAAATGCTCGTAAACAATGAACGTCTCTTCCAAGATGCATCATGGTCTCTTCGATACACGATATGTTTAACGTAAAAGATACGGCGCCGCGCGAACCGCGTGAAGTTGAGTGATTTATTCACGACGCATTTCTCCTACGAATAAATAGGCAACACCTGCAGGCAGCACGCATTGACGCATCGCGACTATCGCGAGTCGCGAGATTCGTGAGTGCGCTTGTGTCAACCCGCAGCTTCCACAAATCACATGCACACACGCACGCGTACTGCACCCATACCTACACGTACATCGCAATAACACCTTAAACGCGATACACACGCAAAATATAAGTAAAATTTATATATACAAGTGCGTACTTCGTATATATATCGCGATACATAACCTAATTCGTCCCCTGCGACTTCCAACACAATTAACCCTGCGACGCCTCTTTCATGAATGAGATACGCGCGTCGCAAGCAAGATTTCTTTGCGGAGGAACTCGATGACGTATGCAGCCTCATCGTACTCTGAAAGCAAGTTTCGAGATACTGGAGGATTTAAACAGGGAGGAGAGGGGGCAGAGAGAGGAAGAGGAAGGGGGGAGAGAGAGAGAGACAAAATATCGAAAGATAAACATTTTTCTGCTACATTTTCGATTCAGCGAAGAAATCGCTCGCTCGCTCGTTCGCACGAGAGACAAGTACTGAACGCAATTTTTCGAGGCTATAGCCGCTTCCGAGAATTCCTAATGTATTCCGTGCGCGTTCACGCGTCGTGTCGGAGATCGGATTGATCTGACAATAAAACAGGGGACAGGGGCAGGCCGGGCAGGATAGGGACGCTGGCGGCGGGGGCAGAAACAAAACGCATACATACGTGCATTCATATATGTACATACATATATGCGTGCGCGCGAAGTATGTTCACGCGGCGTTACCGTTGTATGTTCCAAGCACGCAACATGTGTTATCGAAGAAAAAAAATTATTCAAATCCATCGTCCGACAACCTGTTACGCGTATGCAATGTGTTTGTACACATTGACGTTGCACATACATACGTACGCGCGTGCGCACGCGTAAATGTATATGCACTATCGACTCGCGGATTTTTGTCGTTCTTGAGTGACACCTGCACCGCAGCGATTTCAGGGTTACACGCCATCTTTCATATCAAACAGCAGCACAAGAAAGTGATTGCGATTTTTGGTGCCACCGCGCCGGTCGAAATTAGAGAATTCGTCGAATAAATAATTATTAACACATACAGTTTTTCATATTACTAATGTTTTATTAAATATATTGAGGGTTTGCACGTTATTTCACGAAGGAAATTATAGATGGCACTGAAATTATAGAAAATGGTCGCTCTATACATATACAGAGTGTCCCAAAATTGGCGTATTCGGAGTACAGGACGTGATACTTTATGCTAAAAGGAACAACTTTTTTATTTAGCAAATTTTGATCTGACAAATAATTTTGGCAGGAGAGCTGGTTAAAGTTAACGAATAAT